TTCCGTTGGGAGCAATTTATTGGCTAAAGTAGTAAATTGCACAGCAAACAACAAGGCTCGGGTTTGTTTTATAAACGTAACCATGGATGCCACAACACAACAATTTTGACTAATGTGCAAATATGCCGTATACAATAGTTGTATAAACGTTTATGCAACAGTTAAAAATTTGCCCTATAAGGTGTTGTATAACTATGCTATAAAAATATTTTAAACACCTCATTTTAGAGCAAATATGTTGCAGAAAGCAAATTGGCATTAAACACAACATTAAGCCAGCATTTTGGTGTTCAGGCAACAACAATAGAGAGCTTTTATGGCTGAACGGTTTTTTACCAAAAGCTTATACCACTACTTTGCTAGTTGGGATGTATGTATGTAGACAAAACAGACTACTTCATGGGTTATAGGCCAAACGGCCCATGGAGTTCGAGATATGAGGTGTCTTTAGGTATGTCCTGTCAGTGCCAGTGTCACTGTGTATACAATTTTTTATATAGTCAAAGTGACACAGATTTTAAGCGTAAACGTTTACTTTGAATTTTCTATTTCATGAGCGTCAGCCTAAGTGGCTAGATGGATTTTGTCATTTGAGGTGTCCTTAGACATATGATACGGTAGTCGGGTTGTTTGTATTTTTGAAAATTTAATAGTTAAATCCTCATTTTTTGTTACGAGTCAACAAGGAGGACATCTGAATCCGCCCCTGTCGGTATCTTATACGGAAAACACATTCGTCGGGCTTCCCGATCCCTCCTCCTCATCTTCCCTGACATAATGAAACTTTACAAGCGGCCCTCTTTTATTACGAAGACGCGTCGGCATCGTTCGTTGCCCAGGTAGGTAAACACGCCCAACTTGTTTTACTTAAAAATTTCCCGCACTGGCAAACAAAGCTTGTCGGGATGGACTTCCACGAGAACGTATTTTTCCCAATGAGGGAAAGCCACGAATAACGGCTTTCTGACATTTTAATCGGCGAAAAATTCAAGTTAAAGCTCCTAAGATGGAACGCAACCTTGAGTATTGCAGCGACATGTGCATTTCCGAGTCAGTCAAGGGATATGTCTGCAGTTCCCTTCTTGCTTCCTTTGGTAAGCAAAAGAGAGGGTGTGGAGGTCCAAGCATCGGAACTAGGCGACACGGCGGCGGTGTTTCCGGAGCCGTATGCCGAATTGGATACAATAAATTGCTCTTAGTCTGACTGCTCTGTATGCTCCCGTCAAATAATAGAGCGTCCCCATCTGCGTAGATAAAATTATTGCTGTCAATTGTCCCTAAAACTAGGGACATCCTAGATCTGACATCACTGGTGACAGACTCAAGAGGGGACGTGGCATGCGCACTCTTGTTCTGTTGAGCAGGTGGTAAAGGAATACGCATGTTAGCCAATATCAACTTGAACGCTTCACTAGAGAAAAATGCTTCTCAAAAAATTCTAGTTACCTTCGAGACAATAAAGAGCACATCCTGGAGAAACTGATGCTCTGAATGGTATTTTTTTTTCATTTCTTCCGATATCATGCTTAATCCATAGAAGTTACGAGAATGTAAAACCTTTAGTCCAACAAGTTTTATTACGAAAAGCTTTTGCGTGAAAATTAAAAAAACTACATTAAGCATTTCACATTCACATAACCAGATTTCCTATTTGTATCTGAACAAACAAATGGGTTATGCAACATACGAACATGTAAGGGAATTGGGGAGCCTGGAGTTCAGAAAAGTTAAGGTTTAGTTAGCTCAAGGTAAGCATATAGCCAGTT